CCTGAAAATTTGACTGCTTTCAAATTCTACCTAAAACATTCTCCCCTCACCCCCCAAAAAAATAAGAAAGCAGAACACGAACACATTCCCACCTACCTCGCAAACGCCAGAAAACCCTAGACACTTTTACAAATTCTTCAAGTCGCTCAGACACAATACTACGTCGATCACAGTCATAAAAGACTCCAACAACACCCTTGTAACCGAACCAGAACACAGAACACGTTTACTCAACACTCACTTCCAATCTGTTTTCACACATGAAAATGATATTACACCCACCATACCAGTCAACCCTCATCCCCCAATCCCGCCGCTTGACATCACAACCAACGGCATATTGAAATTACTGTCCACACTTGACACCAATAAAGCCACTGGACCAGACCAAGACCCTGCTTTAATCCTCAAGTCCTGTGCCTCTGCCCTTGCTCCCGTCCTTCAATCCGTCTTCTCTCAATCACTCGCCTCAATCATGCTACCGACTGACTGGCTTTGCGCAAACATCACCCCCATTTTTAAGACAGGAGACCGAACCGACCCGACTAATTATCGCCCCATCTCCCTCACATCGATCGTCTGCAAAATTTTTGAACATATAGTAGATAAACACATAGTGAATCACATTAACACCCACAACATCCTTACAAACTCACAACACGGTTTTTCGGCCCAAGCGATCATGTGAGACCCAATTAATCACCACCCATCAGACATTACCCGACATCTTGACAGACGCGACACTAAACAAGTTTGATGTTATACTGCTCGACTTTGCCAAAGCCTTCGACAAATTTCCTCTCAAAAGACTAACACTTGAATTACGGCATTGCAGGATCACAGGACCAATTCATCATTAGATCACTGCTTTCTTGACGTGTAGGACCCAAAGTGTCCTACTCGACGGTTTATCTTCTGACCCTGTCTCTGTCTCTTCTGGTGTCCCGCAAGGCACCGTTCTTGGACCCTTCTCTTCCTTCTGTACATAAACGACCTTCCACTTTCGACACCTAACTCTACTGCTAGACTTTTTGCTGAAGACAGTCTTTTGTTTCGATCCATTAAAACCGAAGACGACTGCAGACTCCTCCAGCAAGACATAAACGCTCTGGAACAGTGGGAAAGATCACGGCAAATGTCTTCAAGACCAGACAAATGTAAAATTTTCCGTTTCTCCAGATCTCATATGCTAATACACTATACTTAGACACTACACAACCAACAACTAACACCTACAACATCATATAAATACCTCGGCATTCACCTTACCAACAATCCTACTTTCAACACATTTATTTCATCATCAACAAAGCAAACAGAGCACTGGGGTTTCTGATGAGGAGCCTACACATCTGTACACCCGACATCAAACACGTAGCTTATAATACACTTGTACGCCCAACACTTGAGTACTGTACAGCTGTGTGGGACCCTTACATTAAGCACAACATCGAGAAGATCGAACAAGTCAATACTGAGGCTGCCAGGTTTATTACACACAACTATACACGTACACCTGGTATTACATCTCACATAAAAAAAAAACAGATTAATATGGACCTGCTCGAGACACTAAGACAAGCACACAGACTTACAATCATGTACAAGATCACAAACAAATTATAGACATCAACAAACACAAATACAAGCAGCACACACACGCAACACAAGGTAAATTCGTCACATACCACACCTACACTGACTCTTACAAACACTCCTTCTTCCCACGTGCCACACGCGGCTGGAACAGGCTTTCCCAACATATCACTGAAACAAAACCACTCAGTGCTTTCACGAACAAACGAAACAAACAATTAACACTGCAAGCATCTTCTCACACACCAATACTACCATTTATACCTTCATCCTTTCCCTCACCCCATTCAGCCAGCCACAAATATGCGTGCTATGCGCTTATTCAGCGCCCTACGCATTAGCATTGAGAAATGAATTGCAAAAGATGTTAACATCAAATTACCAAAATTCCAATCACTCAGTATATATCAAATATTGAACACTATTTATGATCACACAAGGCTTATTCAATCAAAGGAAAAAAATAAGAGTTACCCCGTCAAATATCAAATGCAGAAAATATTGATGACAGAAAACGAAAATAGTGTAAGGGAAACTATACAAATTCTTTAACAATTTTAAGATGGGGTAATTGTACAACTGATATATATATATATATATATATATATATATATATATATATATATATATATATATATACATATATATATACATACATATACATAT